CAGGGATAATGCTGTGTGGGCAAGGAGGGGACCGGGTCGTGGACCGTGAAGGAGTAGCGCAGGGGCCAATCGCAAGAAGAAACGATGGCCAGTGATTGGTGGAAACGTGATGAGCTCCATATACGCTCGAGAAGGAAGCAATAAAAAGGGCCGAAATAGAGCACAAATGACCCAAATGACCTTGACCCAACCACCAAACGGACGGTACAAAGAGAGAGGGAGAGAGAAAAGATAGAGAGCAGCGTTCCTTGGGTGAGGTACAAAGGGACAAATGGGTTTAATGCAAACAGCTGACGCGGTTGCATTGCATTACATGCATATTCTTTTTCCCGCAAAGCGCCATCGTCTTGCCACATAAACACAGACTCCTATTCCCATGTCTCGTCTCGCACTAGGTTCGCCCTTTCCCTGATCGTCGATAGACTATAGCAACTATGACTCTCCCTTCTGGCCATGCTTACAACCACACACAGCTATGACCGCAACCACACGGTCGTGTCTGTTGGAAGAACACATAGGCAGTGTTGACAATGAGAAGGAGGGGGGAGGGATAGGGATAGGGATGAGAAGAAGGGGCACACTTTTTTGTGCTGGGGCACGCTCCTTCTCGCGCACCTCCTTTCCGGTCAGAGCCAGGTTCAGTATTGGCTGGTCTGCGAGAATGATATCGACTAAAATGACCAATAAAATAAAGGGAGGGGAGACCATTGCCTCAAATGGACGATACCACACGTAACGCTGCGACATAGTGTGCGACGCATTCCACAAACATATACACAGCCTAACTCTACACGGGCCCACTTTGTAGTCCTGAAACTTTGCGATCGTCTCCATGTCTCTCACTCTCACTCTTTTATCTCCACGGACCAGAAAAAAAACAGACAGAAAATCCCAAATGAAAAATAATAAGAATAAAAAGGGTAATTCAGGGGATAAGGGTAGGGCAAATAACGTACCAGGGCTGTTGTGGTAGCGAGCTGCTTTGTGGGGCAGCAGGTGATCGTCCTTGTCAACCTCGGACTGCAGCTTGTCGACCTAGATGGACGAGGCAAAAAATGATGCGTGAGAAGCCCTCTTTGTGGCAGCAGGGGACATGGCCAAGGAGTTGTTTCTTTGTGACATGAATAAGGCAAGTCTCCCACGCTAAAGCCATGGGCGGTGCCTGCGTGTAGTCGGATCTCCGCTTTACCTTGTCGGCAAGTTGCTGCTGGTTGGTCTTGAGGTCCACGAGCGTGGCAAGAATCTGGGAGAGTACGGCCTCGGACATGGTTTTGGCTTTTGGCTTGGAGTTTAGCTCGGCTTGAAAGGGAAGAGTCTTGTTGGGATCTTGGAGTTGGGCCAGCAGGGACTTGGAGCTTG